TCAAATTCCAAAATTCAACACAAGGAAAAAAAACTTGAAAAATAATTACCAGTAAGTACGTACGCAGCTTAAAAAGGGGGCAGCTTCATAAGCAGAGCAAAGGAATGAGATTATAATTGATCATTCCTTCTAACTCACAAAAGAAAAACAACAACATAAAGTTCAAGAGGTAACGACCATCCACCCAAAGCCAACACACAAATTATGAGTCAAACTAAAGTCTGGACATAAACCACACAAAAAAAACAACAACCCAAAACAACTGCTTACAATCAACAATCGAAACAAGAACTTGCTTTGAGGACCCCTGCTATACATGATCAGTACGTAAAGCTTTGAGGACCCCTGCTATACATGATCAGTACGTAAAGCTTTGAGGACCCCTGCTATACATGATCAGGAGTTCAAGCTTTGAGGACCCCTGCCATACATGATCAGGAGGTCAAGCTCTGAGGACCCCTGCCATACATGATCAGGAGGTCAAGCTCTGAGGATCCCTGCTATACATGATCAGGAGGTCAAGCTTTGAGGGCCCCTGCCATACATGATCAGGAGGTCAAGCTCTGAGGACCCCTGCTATACATGATCAGGAGGTCAAGCTTTGAGGACCCCTGCTATACATGATCAGGAGTTCAAGCTCTGAGGACCCCTGCTATACATGATCAGGAGTTCAAGCTTTGAGGACCCCTGCTATACATGATCAGGAGGTCAAGCTTTGAGGGCCCCTGCCATACATGATCAGGAGGTCAAGCTCTGAGGACCCCTGCCATACATGATCAGGAGGTCAAGCTCTGAGGACACTTGCCATACATGATCAGGAGGTCAAGCTCTGAGGACCCCTGCCATACATGATCAGGATGTCAAGCTTTGAGGACCACTAAGTGTTGGTGATGCATGAGGTGTTAACAAAAGCAGCGTTGTGTGTGTTATTTTGGTGTTTTTTTTATGGGGGGGGGGGGGAATTGAACAGGACAGATAATTAGTAAAGTGATGCATAAATTCAATCACTTATTTGAAAGGAAGTTTTAATAGACCTTGCACCTGGTTGAGTTAATGCCATCAAGGAAGATAACTCTGCCAACAGTGATGTTAAAGCTCTTAGATCAGCATTTGTATCAAGCTAACCAGGGGGGGATACAGGAACCCATACAGCAAACACAATCCATTCATTTCCACTGGTCAACATTATGCAGCCCGGCATTCTCTTGCTACAGCCTCATCTTTGACATAGTGTGACAGCCGAGTTAGTAGTTGAAATATTTCACGTGACGCATTCAATCTCAGGCCCAAAACATACACTCCCTATAATTTCATTAGTCCCCGAATACCAAACAATGGAAGACCCATGGCTCCACATTATGAGAAACACTTCACCTCTCATTAAAGCAGTTTCTGCTGCATAAAAAGTTATCAATACTGACCCTATAATTCCTGACACACATATTTAACCACATACAGTTTTAACGACAGAAATATGTCTCTAGCAGTTCTCATTCTTACAATACACTTCATTTACTTTTATGGTGAAGAAACAAACAATGGGAGAAAGCCTGAGGTGGATGCTAGGGCCCTGGAGAAAAATAAAATGTTTGATTTAATCACTAATTTAGATGTAGTGGGCAATCCCTTGTTTGTGTAATGATAGTCTTTATGACTTTATGAGACTCAGATACTGTGCTTCACTGAGTACGGTACTGAGAAAACATGGGAAAGAATGGCTTTTTTTTTTTTTTTTTACCACTTAACAGCTATGAGAGAATGGCATCTATTTACCACTTTACAGGTATGACAGAATGGCATCTATTTACGTCTTTACAGCTATGAAAGAATGGGGGTTATTTACAACTATAGGGCTAACATTAACTTAAGTCCAATTCACATGTCATTTGGTGAACAAATGCTCTACAGTCTGCATTCACATGTCATTTGGTGAACAAATGCTCAACATTTCTACAGTCTACATGAACATGTCATTTGGTGAAGCAATTCTCTAAAGCTCTACATTCACATTTCATTTAGTGAAACAATAATCAACAGTTGTACATTCACATGTCTGTTGTGAACCAATGTTCAATAGTTCTATAGTCTAAATTCACAGAGTTTTAAAGAAAGATCACTGGGGAAAAAAAACCTTAGAAAAACCATTGAGAAAGACCGTGTCAAACATGAAGACCTTGTCAAACAGGAAGAGCGCTCCACATAGTATTTCTAAAATTATCTCTCAAACAGTAGCTTCAAATTCCAAAATTCAACACAAGGAAAAAAAACTTGAAAAATAATTACCAGTAAGTACGTACGCAGCTTAAA